GTGTTCAGTGCGGGCTTTGGACTGACTTGTAAGCCGTGGCTCCGAGCCACGCAATCAGCCTTTGGGAGCAAGGAGAGGCTGGACTTTGGTGCCCATTCCCGAATCGGTGCTGCCTCCCGTGGCACGGGGCCAGGAGGCTGTGGGAATCACAGGGAGCACAGGCTTGTTCGAGCAGTTGCTTAAATTCGCGGCGCTTTATAGCCTCTCTCTCATTAAGGCTTGTTTTTTTTTGGTGGGGATGGCTGAATTCTGTCGGATTTTGCATGCCACTGTCCTCCGAGAGCTTCCCAGTCATGCATTAAGCAGCGTGACTAACGCCTCTCTCATGTGGTTCAGTCTCTCTCACACTCTCCCCGTAGGGAGAAATGTGTGTGCGGAGGAATAGTTGTTTTGGGAGGGGTTTTTATTTTTAAGTGCTCTGTGCTTTGCCAGCAGGTTGGAAAAAGGTGCCTGGCACCAGAGAAGAAAGTGTGGGATGGTCCTTAGATCCCATGGGAAAATAGCCTGGTTCCTTGGACTGGCCCCTGGGAAGCCTGAGTCTCCTGCACAGACGTGCTTGTGGAGGCTTCTTCCTCCTCCTCCTCCTCCTCACGCCCAGCTCTGGGCTCTCACGTCGGCGCTGTGTCATTCGCACCCCTGGGTGCCGAGCAGGATTCCTGACCCTGCTGATTCCTTATCCTGCCGAGCCCAGGGCCCCTGGTGCCTTCCAGCACTGTCCCTCAGGCTCCCAGCCCATCTCCTCCTTCCACTCCCTGCTCTGCAGGGCTCCTTCCTTCACCTGCAGGAATGGGGCTTGGGTTCAGACTCCAGCCCTGTTTGTGGAGCAGAAATCCTGGGTGCTGTGCACCTTTGGGTGACACCCTTCCTCCTCCAGCCTGGCACAGGGCTCCTGGCGTTTCCAGCTGCTGGGCTCAGCCTCCCAGCTCTCTCAGCCATGTGAGGCATCGGCACTGCCTTGAGACTTTCCTCTTTCTTTTCCTGCGATCTTTCACCTCGCACCACGGCTTAGTCAGGATGTGGCTACGTCACCAACAGCCAGGGCCCAGCCAGTGCAAACAGCTCAGTGCAAACAGCCCAGCAGCGGGCACGGCCCCGCTCCCAGCCCGGCCATCCTCTGGGAGCCTTTTCCCAACAGCTGGAGCTTCCCATCTTCCCTGTCCTCACTCACAGCCATCCCCAACCTGAGCGCGGGGCTGAGGGAGCTCGGGGCTGAGGGAGCTCGGGGCTGAAGGAGCTCGGGGCTGAAGGAGCTCGGGGCAGATTCACCCCGTGGAGGAGGATGTGGGGAGTCTGATGTGGGGGATGTGGCAGACACGAGTGTGACCCAGGTGGCAGTGCCCCCGCACGGGTGACATCACACACAAGCACAGGTGGCGGTGCCATGTGCACACACGTGCAGGAGCTAACACCTGGAGCGGGCAGGGATGTTGTCCTTGCCCCCTGTGACACACCTGAACACCCTGCTAGGGCACAGGTGTGATGTGTGTGTTACCCACGGACACACGGCCGTGCTCCGGGCAGGGGCACATCCCTGGAATGCTCACAGGGCACAGCTGGCACAGACACACACGTGTGTGCACACTCTGCATGTGTGATGCACAGATCTGCTGTGTTTCTGCTCGGCTCCCGACCTCCTCCATGCTCAGCCTGGGCCAGAGATGGAAGAGGGATGGATTGCTGTCCTCATCCCTTCCTGCTGGATCACACATCCCAGCGCTGGTGTGGGTCAGTTCTGCACGGCCTCAGCCAGCTGAGGATGGCTCTGCTCTGCACACGAAGGAAGTGGCAGGACAAGGGGGCAGAAGCAACCTTGGCTTCAGGGCCACAGTCTGCTCTCCAGGCACGGAGATGTGTTTTCACTGCGGAGGCAGAACTGATCTCTTCCATGTCCCCATGCCCGTGGGGAAGCAGAGGGGTGGAGGCACTGGGAGCTGTTGGCTTGTGGGGAGTCACAAGGAGGACAGTGCAGGGTGTTCCCCTTCCTGATGAGTTGCACAGTGCCAGGCTAACCAGGAGCTGGGCACTTGCTGTGTGGCACCACGGAGGGGGATGGTCACAGAGCGTTTGCCCATGGAGCATTTGCTTATCCTTGGGTACAGAATATGGAGAGAGAGCGATGGGAGCGGTGAGAGCAGGGTGATGCTGTGAGGCCTTGGCAGATGTGTGTGGCTGTTAATTTTAGGGCACCCAATCCTTGGGTTTTTGGGTGCCAGTGAGCTGTGCTGAACCCCTTTATGCTCACGGCTCAGCAGAAGCTGTGTGGGTGCTCCTGGACCCTGGAGGAGGAAAATGTGTTCCCAGAACGGAAACCAGGGAACGAGAAATCTGGTGGCCAAGCACAGCACCAAACAGGGGCTTGGTGGCAGGACATGTGGCTTGGCACAGGAGGGGACAGTCTGTGGGGCTGGCCGTGTGCCTGGCACGGCCTGGGCAGTGTGTGGGCACGGAGAAGAGATGCCAGTGGTGGGGGCAGCGGTGCAGGGGTGCAGCAGTGCAGGGGTGTCTCTGCAATGCAGGGGGGCAGCGCTCCCGCTGCAGCAGCAGGGTGGGCATGGGGTGGGCACCCAGTGCGTGCCATGTCCCAGACTGGAGTGGGAGGGAACGGGAAGGAACAGTGTGTCTGCAGTGAGCAAGGGAACAGGAGCTGCTGGCGCAGGGTGTGGGGTTGCCTAGTGACTGTGCAGCGAGGGGGATGCTGTGCTGCCGTTGCAGTGAGCCGGGGCTGGGCACTGCTGGGGGCTGCCCGGGGGGTTCCTGCACTGCAGCAGAGCCTGGACAGGGAGCCGGTGTCCCTCTGGCTGCCAGGGACAGCGGGGGTGGCAGTGCTCCACAGGCAGCACGGGAGGGATGATGCTCAGGGCCGCTGCATCCCTGCAGTGCCGGGTGGGTGGTGCCTCTGTACCTCGCAGTGCGAGGCTGGCAGTGCCACTGTGCTGGCAGTGCAGCAAGGGCAGTGCTGCTCTGTCCCTGCCACAGCGGTGTCCCACGGCCCTGCAGTGCTGGAGGGGTGGCAGCCCTGCATCTCCGCAGTGCCCCGTGGCCCTGCAGTGCCCTGCAGCCCTGCAGTGCTGGATGGGCAGCAGTCCTGCATTCCTGCAGTGTCCCCGAAGTGATGGCTGCTGCTGTTCCTGCAGTGCAGGCAGTGATGGATGGGAGGGAGCTGTCTGCTGGCAGTGCCCCGTGTCCCTGCAGTGCTGGGTGCATGGCAGCCCTGCATCCCTGCGGCGATCCATGGCCCTCCATCCCTGCATGAGTGGCAGCCCCACGTCCCTGCAGTGCCTTGTGTCCCTGGGTGGGTGTCAGCCCTGTGTCCCTTCAGTGTCCCATGTCCCTGCAGTGCCAGATGAGTGCCAGCCCCACATCCTTGAAGTGCTCTGTGTCCTTGGGTGGGTGTCAGTCTCACATCCCTGCAGTGTCCCATGCCCCTGCAGTGCCAGATGGGTGTCAGCCCTGTGTCCCTTCCGTGTCCCATGCCCCTGCAGTGCCGACTGGGTGTCAGCCCCACATCCTGGCAGTGCTGGACCCCGTAGAGCAGGCAGAGCTCCCCGTTTGGTGCTCCCATTTCTGCAGTGCTGGCAGCTGTGTGCAGTGCCCGTGTGTCCCTGCCGTGTGTGGCAGGCAGTGCCCCTGCACTGGTGGCACACAATGCTCCTGTGTTTGGGTGGTGAGAAGCTGTCTCAGAGCCTGGCTGGCTCCCATCGGGTTGTTGGCAGCAGGCTGCCTTCAGTCCACCCTGTTAGTGTGCCTCGTTGGGTCTAATTACAGTTGGTGTGGTGACGAAGAGGGTGGACAGTGGCAGGAGTGGCTTCCTGCAAGTGGCAAGGCTGAAGTTTCAATGACAGGGTTGCTCACTCCAGCAGGGCGTTGCAGGAACTCTGCGAGCTGGGACGGATCCTTTGGGGCACTGGAGGCTGCCAGGAGCCGGCCCCAGCAGCCCCTTCCCTCGGGGAGCCGTGCCAGGACTGTGTGCAGTCCCACAGTGGGATAAACCAGGGAAGTGGGCTGGTCCCTAACCTCCGGTGTCTGTGTCTCCTCCAGCTCCCCTGCAGCGCAGGATGAACCCGCTGGCATCCTGCCTGGGCTTGTGGCTCCTCTGCCAGCTCCCTGCCCTGGCCTCGGGGACACGTGTGATCTACAAAGTGCAGGAGGAGCAACCCCCCAACAGCCTCATAGGGAGCCTGGCCTCCGACTACGGCTTACCAGACATGGGGCACCTCTACAAGCTGGAAGTGGGGGCCCCGTACCTCCGTGTGGATGGCAAGACCGGGGACATCTACACCACAGAGACCTCCATCGACCGGGAGAACCTGCGGGAGTGCCAGCACCTCCTGCCCGGAGACCCCTGCTACCTGGAGTTCGAGGTGTCCATCACGAACCTGAACGCCAACAGCAGCCCACGCCTGCTCGAGGGGCAGATCGAGGTGCTCGATATCAATGACAACACCCCCAACTTCGCCTCGCCCGTCCTCACCCTCTCCATCCCCGAAAACACCAACATCGGGACGCTCTTCCCCATCCCCCTGGCCATGGACCGGGACTCGGGCCCCAACGGCGTTGCCTCCTACGAGCTGATGGCAGGTCCGGAGGCACAGGAGCTCTTTGGGCTGCAGGTGGCCGAGGACCAGGATGAGAAGCAGCCTCAGCTGATCGTCATGGGCAACCTGGACCGGGAGCAGTGGGACTCCTACGATCTGACCATCAAGGTGCAGGATGGGGGGAACCCCCCGCGGGCGAGCAGTGCCCTGCTCCGCATCACCATCCTGGACATGAACGACAACGCGCCCAAGTTCGAGAAGGCCCTGTACGAGGCAGAGCTGTCCGAAAACAGCCCTGTGGGCCACTCTGTCCTCCAGGTGAGTGCAGGGGACTCTTCTCCTCACAGTTTCCTCTCCTGCCTGGCTGCAGGAACAGCCCAGGAGCCGTGGTTCCTGCAGGGAGGAGGGAGGGTTGGATGGAGGAGCCCGCAGCGTCAGCCGGGGCTGGGTTGTCACATCTGCTCGAGTGGGGTCGGAGAAGATGCTCAGGAAGCCGGAGCGGGGCTGCAGGACACGGCTGAGGGAGCTGTAGGGAGCAGGGCTGCGGGTTACTGGGAGGGCTGGGACCTGAGGGCCACCGGGAGTCTGGCTCGGGGCCAGCGTGGTCTCAGTGCTGCCCGCGGACAAGACATAGAGCCTTTCATGAGTTGCATTCCCTTGGCTGCTCCATGGAAACTCGGGAGGTGGGGACAGGGAGCATCCCTGCTGCCCGTGTGCAGGGCTGGCCACGGCTCTGGAGGTGCCCTGCTGTCTGCAGCGAGCGGGGGCTCTGCCTCGTCTCGGGCAGTGCTGCAAACCGGCCCGGAGAGCCCAGGGGGTTGGATCTTGGTGGATTCGGCTTGGAGGGGGCATTGAGATGATAGTAGTCGACATCTGTTTATCTGCAGCTGCCATCTTAATAAGCGGAGCGCGGCCAGCTCTCATCTGCCTGCTAATTCTGATGTGAATTTTTTAAGAATTCATTTTTCACTGTTAAGAGAATGGGAGTTGGAAGCAGATAAGGGAGCTGCATGGCCGGGAGGAGAATGGGCTGAGACGCCGCTGCTGCCATTGCTCAGCTTTTATCTTTCAGGGGGAAAATGACTTCCGCCTGTTTTGTGAGTGGAGGTAAAAGGTGGAATTTACATTTAACAACTTTCGTTCTCCATCCAAATCTGCTGAGCAAGATAACGGCGGAGCAGCAAATGGTGCAGAGAAGAGGCTGCTCAGAGAGCCGATTAGGGAGGCAAATGTTAGACAAACCTCATCTTCTTTAGAAAGCAAATAATAGGCGTAGAGGCAGGTTTATGGGGACGCAGGGCTCCTGGCGGGTGGGTGGGGATGGACGGTGCCGTGCAGGGCTCAGGCAGCCCCAGCCCCTGCTTGGCTGCGTCCCCGGATGCCGCGGCGCAGCTGCTGCAGCTCCGCACATCGCTGCCTCCCTCCTCGCCCTCACCTGAGCCAGGCAGCTGCTCCAGCCCCTCCTCGGGGGCACAGCTGGAGCTGTCCCTCCCTGTTGCTGGCTGGGTCTCAGCGGCACGGTTCCATGGATCCGGAGGATTCCCTGCGTGCCGGAGCCGGCCGGGAGGGGAGCGCAGCCAACCGGCCCAGCCAGTTTCTCCGGAAGAGCGAGGCAAAGGCTCCGTGCCTGAGGGCGGCTCCCAGCTGCTCTGCCGGTCTCAGGCTCTTTGCCCCACAGTCCTTGGCCCCAGAAGAGGAAATCCTGGTTTTTCCCCCCCGGCTGTCCCCAGGGAAGGCCGCGGTGGTTTGCGGAGGGGCTGGCTCCGCCGTGCCCTCGTGTCCCGCTCACCGATTGTCCCTCTGTCCCCCAGGTGAAAGCCAACGATTCGGACCAGGGCTCCAACGCCGAGATCGACTACTCCTTCCACCAGGCCTCGGACATGGTGCGGCAGCTGCTGCGCCTGGACCGCGCCACGGGGCTCATCACCGTGCAGGGCCCCATCGACCGCGAGGACATCGGCACCCTCAAGTTCTCCGTCATGGCCAAGGACAAGGGCGCCAACCCCAAGAGCGCCCGCACGCAGGTGGTGGTCACCATCAAGGACATGAATGACAACGCGCCCTCCATAGAGATCCGCGGTATAGGGTTGGTCACCCACCAGGATGGCATGGCCAACATCTCGGAGGACGTGCCAGTAGAGACAGCAGTGGCTCTGGTGCAGGTGTCCGACCGAGATGAGGGTGAAAACGCCGTGGTGACCTGCGTGGTGGCCGGTGACGTCCCGTTCCAGCTGCGCCAGGCCAGCGAGACGGGGAGCGACAGCAAGAAGAAATATTTCCTGCAGACCACCACGCCGTTGGACTACGAGTCAGTGAAGGAGTACACGATTGAGATCGTGGCCGTGGACTCGGGGAACCCGCCGCTCTCCAGCACCAACTCCTTGAAGGTGCAGGTGATGGACGTCAATGACAACGCCCCTGTGTTCAGCCAGAGCTTCACTGAGGTTGCCTTCCCTGAGAACAACGAGCCCGATGAGCTGGTCATGGAGGTGAGTGCCACGGACGCTGACAGCGGCTCCAACGCCAAGCTGGTTTATTCCCTGGTGACAGACCCCTCCTCCAAGGGCTCCTTCACCATTGACCCCGACTCCGGGGAGATCCGGGTGAAGGCGGTGCTGGACCGAGAGCAGCGGGAACGCTACGAGTTCTTGGTGGTGGCGGAAGATAAGGGCAGCCCCAGCAAGCAGGGCACGGCGTCTGTGGCCATCAATGTCATGGACAGGAATGACAATGACCCCAAGTTCATGCTGAATGGCTACAACTTCTCGGTGATGGAGAACATGCCGCCCCTCAGCCCCGTGGGCATGGTGACGGTCATCGATGCTGACAAAGGAGAAAATGCCCGGATCCAGCTGTCGGTGGAGCAAGACAACGGGGATTTTGTCATCCAAAATGGCACTGGCACCATCCTTTCCAGCATCTCTTTTGACCGGGAGCAGCAGAGCACCTACACCTTCCGACTCAAGGCGGTGGACGGTGGGGATCCCCCCAGGTCTGCCTACGTGGGAGTGACCATCAACGTCTTGGATGAGAATGACAACGCCCCCTTCATCACCTCCCCCTCCAATGCCACCTACAAGCACATCCTGCCCCACACCAGCCCCGGCCAGCAGGTGAGCAAGGTCAAGGCAGAGGACATCGACTCGGGCATCAACGCCGAGCTCATCTACAGCATCACGGGAGGAAACCCCTTCGAGCTCTTCCAGATCTCCCCGCAGAGCGGGGACATCACCCTGGAGAAGGAGATCCTGCGCAAGCACCACGGCCTGCACCGCCTGGTCGTGCGCGTCAACGACAAGGGCAAGCCCTCGCGGCACGGCACGGCTCTGGTGCACTTCTACGTCAACGAGACGCTGGCCAACCGCACGCTGCTGGACACGCTGGTGGGCCACAGCCTGGACACCCCGCTGGACATCGACATCGCCGGCGACCCCGAGTACGAGCGCAGCAAGCAGCGCAGCAACATCCTCTTCGGGGTCATCGCCGGCATCGTGGCCGTCACCCTGGTCATCGTGCTGGTGGTCCTGGTGCGCTACTGCCGGCAGCGCGAGGCCAAGAGCGGCTACCAGGCGGGCAAGAAGGAGACCAAGGACCTGTACGCGCCCAAGCAGGCCAGCAAGAGCGGGAAGAGCAAGGGCAAGGTGAAGAAGAGCAAGTCTCCCAAGCCACCCAAGCCCACGGAGGATGAGGAGGAGACGGGCCTGCAGAAATCGCTCAAGTTCAACCTCATGAACGACTCCGTCAGCGACAGCCCCCGGATCCACCTGCCCCTGAACTACCCTCCGGGCAGCCCGGACCTGGGCCGCCACTACCGCTCCAACTCGCCGCTGCCCTCCATCCAGCTGCAGCCTCAGTCACCCTCTGCCTCCAAGAAGCACCAAGTGGTGCAGGACCTGCCGGCCACCAACACCTTTGTTGGCACCGGGGACAACAACTCGACGGGCTCCGAGCAGTACTCGGACTACAGCTACCGCACCAACCCCCAGAAATACACCAACAAGCAGGTAGGAGAGCTCATCCTGAGGCCGGCAGCGGCCCCCCCGCTGCACCGGGGAGCCATCTGGACAGAGGTGTGGGAGTGAGCGTGGACTGGCCCCCAGCCCTGCATGCGTGGCCCCAGGGGGCTGGAGTTGGACTACCCCGGAGCCGAGCCACAGAGCCTGGGCGTGGTGCAGGGAGGGGATGGGGACGGTGTGGGGGAGGTCAAAACCTGTCCGAGCCTTTGTCGGAGCGCCCGGGGCTGGGTCCTGGTGGCGCTGCCTGAGTGACGGTGACGCGAAGGGCGCTGCATGTGTGTGGCTCTGCATGTGGGGCTATGGGCAGGGAATGCCACCCGCCTGCCTCCCCTCCGGGGACCACTCTAAGAGCACCAAGGAGGGCGATGCCCACCCTCCCGTCCCTCCCTCTGCTTGGGCTGGCTCATGGGGAGGAGGGACTGGTCCTGCTCCTGCCACAGCCGGGTTCCAGCCCTGCCCTGCTCCAGGGAGCAGCTGGGGAAGGCTCTGGCCTCACTGTTGCCAGCCCGGCTGAACCTGCCACCATCCCTGCGCCAGGGCGCCTCAAAGGGAGCTCTGCGCCCGCTGCGGCTGCCCGGGCAGGTGAGGCTGGGTGGAGGAGCAAAGCTCTGCCTTTTTCCCAGGCTCAGGCTCCGGCTTCCCCCAGGCTCGGGCCCTCTGCCACAGCCGGCACGGTGAAATCCAGGCTTCCCTTAGCACGAGCTGTGGCTCTGCGGGAGAGGGCTCGCAGATCGCGGTGGCACGGGAGTGGCCCCGGTGGCACGGGAATGGCCCGTCCGTGTGGCGGGGCTGGGGCTGTGCTGGGGGCCGGGGGAGAGGGGCACTGGGGCGTCTGCTGCGGTCGGGTCACTGCTCTTGGTGTCGCCGGGGGGGTTCTCTGCGTGCAGGGCAGGGTGGAGGCAGGTCTTGGCTGCTCGCTGGTGTGCACTGGAGCTGGGAGCTGAGCCACGAGGTCGTGGGCTGAGTGTGGAGCTTGCAGGACCCTCTTTCTCGGGCTGTCTGGCCACTTAGGAGCTTGCACCACGTTTCTGCTTTGGCACTTCTGTCCTTAGCCAGCCAGGGAGGGAGAGGGGGAGCGAGTGCCTGTGGCTTTGTCTTCTTCCTGGGGCCCTGTGGGTGAGGACCACCCACTCCCCCTCCGTGCTGTACCCCCTGTGCCCCGTGAGACCCCTGCCCCCCTTCTTTGTAACCCGGTGAGCGGCAGGCTGGGCTCCTGCCGTGGGGCTGAGCTCAGCTGCCCTGTTGGATTTGACTTCAATAAAGTTTTCTATTTTTGACCGGTTGTGCCTTATTTTCCCTGCTGCCCCTGAGGAGGCCCTCACTCCCAGCAATTTCCCAGGCATATTTTCCATGTCCTTGGCCACTGGAGCACTCAGGCCCTGTGAGGAGGCCAGAAGTGATGCTCACGTGGGCCGGCCATCTCCACAAACCCTCCACCACACCCCAGCGTGGCCAGACCAGAGGCCTCATGGTGCTGACCCTTCATCCTCAGGTTGATGTGTCCCATGTCCAGCCACTTCCTGGCCCTGTGAAGATGTTCCTGCAGGACAGGGTTCCCAACACCTGCACACACACACACGTGGATGTGGACACAGTCTGAGCCACGGCCCAGCCCGCCCAGCTTTCACTTCATTTCACACCACCATCCTCCCTCCAAGCTTCTCCTGGTTGATCCCCACATCCTCTTGAGCCACACCCACGTCCCACAGGCAGATCGCTGTGCCTTGGCTAGCCTGACCCAAATCCCACCAGCGCAGGCTGGCAGCCGCCGGCTCCCGCCCGCCGCAGTGCTGCAATGAGGGCGCACGCGGTTGCAGATGGAGCCTTGGCGTGTCAGCAGCGCCCGGATCCCGGAGCTCCCCCACCCCGGGAGGCGATGGGAAGGAGAGATCCTCTCAGGAAGGCTTGCTGGAGCTGGGTGGATCTGCCCTGTGTGGGATCTCCTGGCGGGATGGATGGGAGTGATGCCAGTGATGCGGGGCTCTTGTCTCCAGCTGTTTGGAGAAAAGATGGGTCCTGGCAGGCAGGAACAGTCCAACACCCCTCTCCCTCCATCCCACTATCCCATCTCAGGGACCCCCTCCCTGGCCACCTGTTCCTGTTTCTCCTGTTTTTTCTTCCAAACTGGGGCACCCATCCCTGCTCCCATCACATCAGTTCACCTCTTTGGTCCCCAGGGCCTCCAGTGGCTTTGCCAGGCTGCCGGGGCCGAGGAGCTCTGGCGCTGGGAGAGATTAGATCAGCCGGGGAAACCGGTGGTTCTGGCTTCGGTGGTTTGAGCCCTGTGCCAGCCTTGGCTCTCACAGCCTCCTCGTTTGTTTTGCTAACAGCATAAGGTTTTATCTTGAACCATCCAGGAAGTGTCTGGGCCTCCTGGGCAGGCAGGGCTGGGACCCGCGGGGAGATGCGATGGCTGCAGAGGAGGAAAGGAGACACCGGCAACCACCTCAATAACTGCTCCCCGCAGGGCTGGGCAGGGCAGTCTGGGGGCTTGGCTCAGCCCTGCTATCTGCTTCCCTTTGGGAACTTTCTGAGAGAAGTTTCCCTCCCTTCCTCGTCCTCGGCAGCTCTTTGATGAACCTGGGGTGAGAATTCAGGCGCTGGCGTGGGGAGCGGCTCTTTCTTCTGCCTGGCTCCCAGGCTCCATCCTTTTTTACCTGGTGGGGATATTCTACATCCTTTCCCAAGAAGTGCCGCGGGTCCTTACAGCCCCCCACCACCCGGGAAGGCGGCTGGAGCGGTGTGAACTTGAGGGAGCTCAGCAGAGGTTCCTGCACCTGCCCGCGGGCTCGGAGCGCGGTGCAGCATTAATTACTCTCTGCGGGAGGGGAGGAGAGGAGTATTGTAGCTGTAATGGATAGAAATGAAATCGTCTTGTTGGAGAATTTAGCTCCGAGTCTCCATAAATTGCAGGTTTAGGTGCTGGCAGATGTCTGGGAAAGTCTCCCACTGTCCTGGGTCAGTGGGTTTTCTCAAGGTCGTTCACGTGGAATGAGCTGATAAATGGATCCAGCAAGGAGCTGCAGATGGAGCTGAGGGTTCATGGGGGACCTGCCCTGCTTTTCCCCAGTTTCAGAGAGACGCTGTGCTGGGAGCAGTTCCTCTGCACTGTGAATCAGCTCCTGCTCCTGGGATCGACTGGGCTTGGCTCAGATTCGGCTCTGCCGGGCAGGGATCGAATGAGAGAGGCGTGGCTGAGGGGCTGCGGATCCCTGGATCTGCTGGGAAGAGTGGCTGTGTCAAAGCCCAGAGGCTTGTGAGCATCACTGGGGTGCCTGGGGAGCTGGGGGAGCACAGGACAGGGCGGGGAGTGGATCGTGCCCCGTGCTGGGGCTTTGGTGAGGTTGCTGAGGGCACCACGGGCAAGGCAGCAAGGTGTGGTGGCTCCTGGCACGTCTGTGCTGGCGACTTGGGTTGATGGCAGGGAGTGAGAGCACCGTGGGGTGTTTGGGACCTTAAAAATGAGGAGCTTCAGCCATGGAAGAAGAGTAGAGGCTGGATGTGCAGCCAGAGGCAGCGTGGGTGTGCTGCAGGGGGAGGTGACAGCGGGGTGTACCCGGCCTGCGCCCCTGCGTGGGAGGTGACAGCGGGATGCTCACTGCCAGCACCCTGTGGAGGTGGCACAGAGGGGTCTCTGTGACAAAGGGTGGCAGGGACACACGTACAGGCTGTGTGTCAGGGGTAGGGGAGGCAGGGGATGCAGCCAGAGCCATCCCCGCGGGGAAGGTGGCACAGGGCAGAGTACAAACCCTGTTCCCAAGGAGGTGGCAGTGGGGACTGTGCAGCCTGGACTGCGGTAGGAGGTGGCACAGGGGGTGCACAGCCCCAGGGAGAGGGGCACAGGGCGGTGCTGTGTGGAGGGTGGCAGTGGGGTGGACACAGCGACAGTGGGTGACAGCAGGGTGGGCAGCCTTGGCCAGGTGACAACGCTGTAGGCAGTGTCTGCACGGAGATGGTGGCACTCACTGTCCCTAACCCATCAGGGAGGTCACCAGCTCTCTCCTGCCTGGCTGTACCTGGTCCCACCAGCTCTGGGGACCTTGTCCTTTCTCCCCTGAAGCTCACCCAGCCCCTGCTCCTTGCCTGGCTCTCCCCTCATGGAGCTGGGTGACAGCCCTGCCCAGTTCCCCTCTTGCCATTCCTCATGGGGCTGGGTGACAGCCCTGCCCATTTCCACTCTTGTCATTCCTTATGGAGCTGGGTGAGAGCCCTGCCCATTTCCACTCTTGTCATTCCTCCCTGCTGCTCATTCCCTCCTCTTCCTCTCCCTCTCACAGCCTCAGCCTCTCCCCAGCCTGATGCCTTTGGAGCCAGAGTTGGCCTTTCCTAGCTTGGATCTGGAGAATTCCTTTTTCCTCTCCAAATCTTCCAGCTGCTTTCACAACCGTGCCTGCTCCTCTCCACCCTCTCTCCTGATCTCTCCCTTCGCCCTGGCTTCCCCCAGTCTCTCCTGACCGTGCTGGCCCCAGTACAGAGGGATGCTGAGCCCTCCCAGAGCAGGGCTGAGCCCCTGGCTGGCCGAGCTGTGGATCCTGGGGGATGAAAGCCCTGGCTGTGTGTGCAGCTCCAAGCCTCCCTGATTGATATTCCCAGCACTGCTCTGCCCGCTCGGCCGGGCTCTCAGCTGCAGTGCTGTTCCCTGGAGCGGGGCCCAGCCCTGCAGGCTGCTTCAGCCGGCACCCAGATCCTGGGGCAGAACCTGGGGCTGTGACAGGGAGTGTCCCCGTGGTCCCTGTGTGTCCCTGTGTGTCCTTGTGATCCCTGTGTGTCCCCATGGTTCCTGTGTGCCCCTGGGTGTCCCTGTGGTCCCTGTGTGCCCCTGTGTGTCCCCATGGTCCCTGTGTGTCCCCATCATCCTTGTGTGTCCCTGTGTGTCCCTGTGATCCCTGTGTGTCCCCCTGGTCCCTCTGTGTCCCCCTGCTCTCTGTGTGTCCCCATGTGTCTCTGTGTGTCCCCATGATCCCTGTGTGCCCCTGTGCGTCCCTGTG